TTAAAACCTGAATCAATTTGCCTTTGAGGATCTCTTTCGGATTGGGACCACAGCACAAGGGGCAGGAGGGTTTAATCCTTCCTCCTCACTTTTACACCAACAACGCAAATAGGGCTGTTTTAGGTTAAGAAAACAGCATGGGAAGGGGGGGGGAGCTAATACTCTCCCTCATGTCATGGTCTTTATCTAAACTGGGTTCCTACTCACCTCGGTGCACACCTGATTTGGCCCTCAGCCTCACCTACCTCACAGGGTTGTAGTGAGGATAAAATGGAGAAGTTCCTTGGAGGAAAGGGAGGATCATAATGTAATATATTTCCGGCAGACTTGGCAGCAATGTATCGGTGGGCAAGAGTTTGCCCAAGAGTTTATTTTTTTATTTTATTGGATTTGTATCCCACCCTCCACACATAGCAGCAGACCCTCATAGAGGGCAGAAGAGGCCCGGGCCACTTCAATTTTTGAGCCCCCCCCACCCCGTAAATTAAAAAATGAAGTGCGAAAACAATGATACAAAATTAGTAGTATTATATTTTAGGTGGTTACATTTAATAGAATAAGAAAAAGAATATTGTAAGGCTATGTTACAAATGTTCCCATTCTTATTTAACATGTGCTTTCATGTCAAAAGTGTAAACCTGAGGCCCCCTGAGAATGTGAGGCCCGGGCCACATGGCCCTGCTGTCCCCCCCCCCCCGGGAGGCCCAGCAAAGCAGGCTCAGGGCAGGTTCCAATAACCAATATACAAAGAATTAAAAACAATCAAAAGCCCCAATAAAAGACAACAACATTCCTAGAAGAAGAGAAGGGATTGGATTTATACCCCACCCTTCACTACCCAAAGGAGTCTCAGAGCAGCTTACAGACTCCTTTCCCTTCCCCTCCCCACAACAGACACCCTGTGAGGCAGGCGGGGCTGAGAGAGCTCTTTCAAGAGCTGCTCTTTCCCAAGGTCATCCAACAGGTGCAAGTGGAGGAGTGGGGAATCAAACCCGGTTCTCCCAGATTAGAGTCCGCGCACTTAACCACGACACCAAACTGGCTCTCCTATGGTACAAATCATGGTCAGAGCCTCACAGATACAATCTATTTCGGGTTTGGGTCCTTAGATGATACTACAGATCTGACCCGCTGAGGGGAGGCCCAGTAGAGAAGAGGGATGCCTGCCACTCTAACGAAAAGCCTGGCGGAAGAGCTCCGTCTCGCAGGCCCTGTGGAACTGGAAAAGGTCCTGCAGGGCACTGATCTCATATGGGAGCTCAGTCCACCAGGTAGGGGCCAGGGCTGGCCCTAGTTGAGGCACAATGGACATCCCTGGGGCCGGGGACCACCTGAAGATGCTGGTTGACAGCAGGGCTTTTTTTATACAAAAAGACCAGCAGGTACTCTTTAGCATAATAGGCCACACCCAACAGCAGAAACTCATTAGCATATTGGGCCACACCCCTGACAGCACAGCTCATTGGCATATTAGGCCCCACCCCCATGTTACCAGAAGTGTGCTCATCCAGCCACACCCATCTTTTGCTTCTTATTCTGTTTACCTTGTTTGTGGTCCAAACCCAGGGCCTTTTTTTGTCGCAGGAACTCCTTTGCATGTTAGGCCACACACCCCTAATGGAGCCAATCCTGATGAGTGTCTGCCGTTGGGTGTGACCTATTATGCTAATGAGTTCCTGCTGGGCGTGGCCAACTCGGGAGCCAGCCGGAACTCCGTTCCTGTGCGTTCCTGCCCCAAAATAGCCCTGGTTGACAGATCGTAAAGCCCTTTGGGGAGGCGGTCTCACAGGCCCCCCATCACTTTCCCTTCTGATCTCCTTTGCTAGGAACTCCCAGGCGCCAGCTGGTTCTGTGGTTTCCGTGGAGATTAGAATCATCGGAGTCTCATTCGCTCCCCCCCACCATCAACTTCTTTCCATCTGAAGGGACAGCACCATCAGTTATCATGGCTTCTTCACAAGTACGTAGACAGCCTTCCCCGACATCTGTTCTCTTTCCTACCCCCTCAGTTTCCCCCCCACCCCCCGGTCTATTTCCTTACGTATCCACCTAGTGCACTTCTCTCCAAAGAGCTCAGGATGTCGCACACGGCTCCACCTTCTCTCACAACAGCCCTTTGAGGCAGATTAGGTTGGGAGACAGCAACTGGCTCAAAGGTACTCTGTGAGTTGCATGGCAGAGAGAGAGTGGGTGTCCCATTTGGGGGGCTGTACCCCCACCTTCCGCTCTAAGTGGAGCTTCCGGGTTGCTGAGCAGGCCTTCAAAGAAATGGATGGGTTGGGGCAGTGGTTCCCAAGAAGAAGAGGAGGAGGAGGAGGAGGAGATTGGATTTATACCCTGTCCTTCACTTGGGAGTCTCAGAGCGGCTTACAAACTCCTTCCCCTTCCCCTCCTCACAACAGACACCCTGTGAGGTAGGTGGGGCTGAGAGATCTTTCCAGAAAGGCCCTTTCAAGGACAGCTCTAACAGAACTATGGCTTGCCCAAGGTCATCCAGCAGCTGCAAGTGGAGGAGTGGGGAATCAAACCCAGTTCTCCCAGATTAGAGTCCGCACACTTAACCACGACACCAAACCAAGGTTAACCAAACTGTACCCATTGCCGAGACGCGGGATGTGTTCTGAATGTCTATGAATTCTAAGTACCAGAAACATTATAAGGTTGCTAACCTTGGAGGCCCGGAGAACTTCGAGAATTACAACTGATTTTAAGAACGTAAGAGAAGCCGATGTTGGATCAGGCCAATGGCCCATCCAGTCCGACACTCTGTCACACAGTGGCCAAAAATACCAGGGGCCATCAGGAGGTCCACCAGTGGGGCCAGGACACTAGAAGCCCCTCCCACTGGTGCTCCCTCCCCCCCAGCACCAAGAATACAGAGCATCCCTTGCCCCAGACTGAGAGTTCCTATCTATATTTTCAGACTATGGAGATCAGTTCCACTGGAGAAAATGGCTGCTTTGGAGGGTGGACTGTGTGGTATTATACCCTGAGGGGGTCCTCCCCAAACCTTGCCCACTCCTGGCTCCTCCACCCCCCCCAAATCCCCAGGAATTTCCGACCTCAGGGCTGGCAGCCCTAGAAACATATGAGAAAGAACGAGTTTTGAGTTCAGAAGTGCCTCCCTGCTTATAAAAGGTAAAGGTAAAGGTCTCCCTTGCTCGAAAGCCAGTTGAATCCGACTCTAGGGTTGCGGTGCTCATCTCCGTTTCAAAGCCGAAGAACCAGCGCTGTCCGAAGACGTTTCCGTGGTCATGTGGCCGGAATGACTAAACACCAAGGCGCACGGAACGCTGTGACCTTCCCACCGAAGTGGTCCCTATTTATCTACTTGCACTTTCTTCCTTTCAAACTGCTCGGTTGGCAGGAACTGGAACTAGAGACGGGAGCTCACCCTGTCTTGCGGCACCCGGGTCTCGAACTGCTGAACTACTGACCTTCCACAGCCTGCAGTTCAGCGTCTTAACCACTTGAGCCACCGCAGCTCCTTATAACCTTATAACCTATACTTATATATAAATGATGGGTTGGATCCAGACGAATGACCAGTTTCTGCTGATTTCCCCCCTCCTCCTGTCATTCTTCTGGGTTCACGATCCACCAGGAGCAGCATTTTATGGAGATAAGTGGGAGGGGGGAGGCACGAAAGTTCCATCCTGCCACCGGGGAAATTGTAGTCTAGATCCAACCTAATAGTTATTATTTCCCACCTTTCTTCTTTGGAAAGGAAGCAAGTGTGGAGTAGCCAGACAGTCTCCTGCCCAGGCATTGACCCGGAGCTGCACAGCTTCACCAAGGCTGCTGCATCATGTTTCTTTCGTTAATTGCCTGAGAGCAGATCCTCTTTAAATCCCTGCTTGAAGCGCACTGCAGTGTGCACAATCGAAGCTCCGGGTTGGGAATTTCCTGGAGAAGGCAGGGTCTCTGGGGAGGGGAGGAGGTTCAGAAGCATTGCCAGCCTCCAGGCGGATGCTTGAGATCCCCTGGAATTACAACCGATCTCCAGATTACATATTATTATTTATTTATTTAATAAATTAAAACATTTATTCCAATTACCATGTCAGATTACACAGGGAAGCCATTGAAATTCGTAAACACAATTTCAACAGGAAGGAAGAGTTTAAAAATGAATAGGGCATGGTTTCCTGTCCTGAAAAACACAAAAGGCTCTACATCTGACAATAGCACTACAGATAAGATTAGAATCCATATGCAAAAGAACCTCCTCAGGAAACAATCCATATACAAAAGAACCTCCTCAGGAAAGCTCCTCCATTAGCATGTCCACAGCCTGGGGAGCTCCTACAAGATAATGACTCAGCCCTACCCCACCTTTCTGAGAAGATATAAATTACCTGCCTACCGTTTTTTTTCTCCTCACGTTGACACAGAGAGTACTCCATCTTTCTGTGTTATACCTCTGAGGATGCAGGTCACAGCTACTGGCGAAACGTCAGGTTCTACAATGCCAAGACCACGGCCATAAAGCCCGGAAAATCTACAACAGCTAATTTATTCCACTTCTCCATGGCTGCTTTGGAAGGTGGACCGTATGGCACTATTCTCTGCTGAGTTCCCTCCCCTCCCTAAAGCCCCTCCCAGGCTCTACCCTCAAATCTCCAGGTATTTCCAAACCTGGAGCTGGCAAACCTAGGCCTCAGCAAGATGTAGTGCCATACAGGCCAACCTCCAAAGCGGCCGTTTTCTCCAGGGGACGGGATCTCTGTAGTCTAGAGATCAGCTGTCGTTCCAGGAGATCTCCAGGCCCAACAAGGAGGCTGGCAACCCCTAGGTAAGAGCAATTGCGGTCTTGGAAATAATCCACCCAGGACCAGAGGGAATCCTGAATGGCCACAGCTGTTCCAGTCAGTGGGTGGTGTTTTTAATAATGATAATGATAATAATGATAATACCTTCCGATTTATTGATCGCTCATCCTGCAGAGCTGCTGGCTCTGAGCGATTTACAGTTACACAAGTTTTCACACGGGGCTAACAATGAATCATAGGGTAAGGGAGGACAACATATAATTCTTTAAATCGCACCCTTTTGCAGCCGACGGGCATTTTGTTCAGCTGTAAGCTTCAGGCGTGTTCCGGTCGGCATTCACTTCGGCTTGGCTAGATGACGTCAGTTTTTCCAGGACTACTTTGAGTCATAGTGCCACACTGCCACCGCCTGGCCAGATTGGCCCATCACAGGCTTCTTAATGCCGAAGAGGTCTTTTTTTCCAGGCTTCCAAGCTTACGAGCTGGACCTTCCGTTAGCTGGCTAACACCTCCCCCACGGTGGTTTAGTGTGTCCACCCTCTCTAAGGAGTGGTACCCATTTTATCTACTCGCCGGAGCTTTCGAACCGCTGGGTGGACGGCGAGCTGGGGACAAGGCTGGTAGCTCACACCAGCGCGGGCTAGAACTGACAGCAGCTCTGTTCAGTTCAGATGTTAACCAGCACTACTGCTTTTGTGTGGCATTAGCACAGTGTTGTAACACACTGCAGCCACTGGCTGTGTTTTGAGCGGCTGATAACATTTTTATTTATTTTATTTTTATTATTTTAATTGGATTCAGAACCCACTCTCCCGGAACCAGCTCAGAGCAGTTAACATCAATTTATAAAACATAACAGCATTCTAAAACGTTAATACAATAAATACACTAAAGATTATAATAATTACAATAAATAAATACAATACATAAATACAATAAATTCCCCATATATACCCCAGAGAGCACTATGGTCAGGGTCACAACATTGATTGACCATACCAGGCTCTAAGGATGCCAGGCTCGCTATCACCAGGGCCAGGGCCTTTACTGGTGGAATGAGCTCCCGGAGGAGATCAGGGCCCTACGGGATCTTCTATAGTTCTGCAGGGCCTGCAAGATGGAGCTCTTCCACCAGGCTTTCAATTAGGAGCCACCCACCGCTACCACCAACACCGGTAGTGGGCTGGCCAGGTTTAGAGAGCCCAGACGTTTTACTGAGCTGGAAATCGTGTGTGTTACATTATTAATACACCACTACTGTTTAGCACTTGATTATTCTAAATGTTTAAAATGCTTAAAATGTTTTAACTGTTTTTATGTGTTTAATGTGGATTGATGGTGCTTTGTACCAATGAATGTAAGCCTCCTTGAGCCTGTCCGCGGGGAGGGTGGGATAAAAATGGAACAAATATATATATAAATAAATAAATATAATAAGATCCATAAAACACATCGACTGTGCAGTCAAAAGATGGCATAAAATCTTATGGAGGGGCAATATAGAACAGTTATGATTTTATTTGGTTTAGCGCATCTACCCGAAACCACACCCTTGCTTTTAAACTGGTAGAAGACAGTTACAGGAGAAATTAATACCACATTTGGCAACATGTGATACTGAGGGTACAGGCAGTGTCTGTGCTGTGAGTTCGGATGTGATACTGGGAGTGATGTGACCCTGTTTCTGGCTACAATATGATATTTACACTTGAAAGATTCATGATGGAATTCACACCATCCCTCTCTGTCTCAACTCCCACCCACCCCCTACCATAAGAAGAATTCCCAGTTATGATTTTCCCTGCATGCAGGGGTCGTTTCGTAGAAAAAGAGCTAGGGGAACTCATTAGCATAACTCATTAGCCTATGCCACACCCCCTGACATCACCGGAAGTGTGTCATAAGGCCACACCCCCTGACATCACCGGAAGTGTGTCATAAGGCCACACCCCCTGACATCACCGGAAGTGTG